ACTTACTTGGCCTGGCTAAGCTTCTGTTTGCGCCTCAGCTCCTCCACCTTCTTGATCTTCTCAGCGTTCTGCTCCTCCACCAGCTTCTTGTGGGCCTGCACACGGCGGTCTCGCTTGCGAACAAAAGCCACGAGTTGTCGCACAAGCTCGTTGCGCTCCTTTCGAGCTTTCTCTCTGGTCTTCTTGTTCTCCTTCTCCATGGCCCTTTTCTCCCAGCGGTTGGAGGCCTGCCTGGTATCATACTCCTCCTTCCAGGCAAAGTTTTTACGTGTGCAGAAACTCTGCCAGTAGCCGTAAAACACATGCACTACCTGTAATATGTAAAATAGACTGATAAAGTACACAAGCCTACTTAAATACTTTTAATATTTTAGTTTTTACTCAGAGAAAGTAGAACAGAAAAAATGTGCTTACTATTTTATTCATGTAACTGAAGTGTATAAAGAACTCTTAGATCATCCAAAAGAGGAACAACCTTGAGACAAGTGTTTAAAAGGTTCAGTGTGTAAGTTTTAGTGGCATCTAGCAGTGAGTGTTGGTCTCATTTCCCAAGCTGTGAAGTCCTTCCTCCGACTTCAGTGTGTGTTCATGTGCTCTTACATCGGCATGTGGAATAAACATGGACGCTACTACAAAGATGTGTTGGATTACCATTTTCAGAGCATATAAACAACACGCATAAACATATTACATGTTTGTGAAATATATGTATGCAATATGTGATTTTGCACGAATCAAAGCTCTGTATACTTCTTTATGTCCTATGTAAACTTTATTTCTCTTTTTGCAATAAAGATTTAAGAAGGAATTCTGATTATCCAAACACCACATGAATGCACCGCTCCCCCCTCCCTTTCTAAGCACGCAAGAGAAGCTAAAATGGCCGACACGCTCTGATGGCTCTTGTGCTAAATAATAATAGCGTGGGCCTCCATTTGTCTAAATTTCTCTTCTTTTCTTACTTCTAATAAACCACTCGACTACTACAACTACTTCTTCTTCGTACGTATTCAGCGTACTGATGAAACGCGCTCTGTAGAGCAGTTTGTCCATTCAGGCTACTGTAGAAACAAGGTGCCACAACATGGCGACGTCCATGTAAGGGGACCCGCGGTGTATGTAGAGAGAAATGGCTCATTATAAGGTAACAAAAACATAACGGTTCACTATGTTGAGTCTTCATACACCACTGAAAACATAATTATGTATATTATATTGCTTTTCTGTCAATAAATCCTCCTAAATATTACACACAGAACCTTAAATTGTGGGGCTGACTTACGGTATCGTAGTCACTCTGAGAGTCTCCAAAGGGAGGAAACTCCTCCTCCTCTTCCTCCTCTTCCACCCTGCCATGCTCCTTCTCCTCCTTAACAATGGACTCAAAGAGATTCCTGTAAACTGTGTAAAAGCCCTAGGGAGAGAGAGTGGATGAAAACAAGAGGGAACAATAAATGAGAAAATAAATGGTCTGAGATGCCAGAAAGAATTTCTGTCCCCACAATCCCAAGGGTTGAAGCTGCCTCCACCAACCTGAACAACCTGTCGTTGAGGTGCTGGACTCTCATAGCTTTTGGGATTGAGACCAAAGAAATTCTGACTGGGTTTAATCAAATCGTGTGGGGTTTTGGTAGACTGGCTGTGTGTTCTTGCATGCTGAAAAGGTGACTGGATGTTTTTGTTTTTTTAAGTAGGGCATAATTTCCAGCTTACAAATAGCCTTGCAGCTGAAATTTATTTTGTCACTGTATTGATTTGCCTTTTGATAATCTCATTACTCCTTCCTTTACAACTAGGACAGACAGTCTGGCCTGTTATTTATTTGAGTGGTGGCACAACTCCTGGGTTACATTGCCTTTTTAATATCAGGAGGCATCAAATGAAGTTGTTTGGTATGTGTTTTGATTTCATATCTACGTCAGTCATACTTATCTCTGTGCTTGTCTCTGAAGATTCTCAGTCAACCAGGTCATAGTTATCTAAGGAAGGTTAAAATCAAGGGCAACTGGACTTCATCAGAGAACTGAAGAAGCATTTGGATGAGGGGCAAAACACCTTCAAGTATCTTCAACTATGTCCACTTGCCCTTGATTTTAACCTTCCTTGGGTATCTCTGTGCTTGTTGTGGATACACATGTACTCCTTTGGGAAAAAACATTTAAGTGTCTCCCAAAACCTTAACTGTTTCTTTTCCTCCCCACCTCAAAACATAACACGGACAAAGTAGAGAAGAGAATGTGTTACAAATATCATATGGTAATGTCACTTTGGCAGATTGAGATCATTGTTCTTTTGGTATTTTCTTTGTCTGTAGAAGATAACTAAAAAACCTGGTTTAAGTTGTTTTGTGAGTAATGAGCAACATGATCTTTGCACACATGACCACGCACACTCACCTTCTCGTCATCTCCAAAGCCAGAGTAGCAGGTGACTGTGAAGTACTGCAGCAGGTCAATGCTGTCATCTTCATAATCTCCACTCAGTCCTCCTTTCAGCAGAGCGTCCCTGTGGTTGTCATACCTGCCACACAGAAGGAGACAGAGGCACCAGCTGAAACATATTTAACCCACACGGTCTGTCCATAAAACAGTCAAGAAGAACTCTTTGCACATGTTGAAATAAATATGTACGCACCAAGCTCTCTCCTGCGGATCACTCAGGACATCATAAGCTGCCTGAATCAGCTTGAAGTGCTCCGCTGCCTCCTCAGCATTGTCCAAATTTTTATCTGGGAATTTCAGAAGGAAAGCACAGTTGTTGTTAGTGAAAACTTCTTTATTTATTGACAATTTTGTGAAGCTTGAGTTAACAACATGTTGATGCAAGTTTACTGAAAGTGGAAGGAATATACTGACAAAGCTGCAGTTTCAAGCATTGCCTATTTACAGTTTAGTAAAAAGGGCATAAGAAAGTCAGGAGTCTAGTAAATAAACACAATGTATTCAATATGTAATGACTTGTTACAGACAACTACAATATCAAAAGTGGGTGCTTTATTTTAGTTAATCTCACTTGGAAAGCTTAAATTCAATACCTCCCCTTTATTTCACAGGCAAATACTGTACGTTTAACGTTACTATATTAAAGTTAACTTATCTGACATGTGTAGTTGCTTACTTCAGAGTACAAAGTTGTAATGTAAAACTAATTAAGTAATGCAATTCAAACTGCGTGTAACGTTACACCAGCCAATATAATAACTTTCCATCATAATGTAGTATCATATGTCACACCATTCACTTAATACTTTCAATTTACTAACAATATATACTTAAAATTACATTTATAGAAGTGAATTCAGGGATTTAACTTTAAATTAAGTAATTTTCCGATCTTCTGTTCTGCTTCAGGGATACTGTTCATTAACATTAAGTCTATAAGGTTTCTACCACTACTTACCTGGATGCCATTTCAATGCTAATTTACGATAAGATTTCTTCAAGTCATCGTCTCCTGCATCTCGTTTCACACCCAATATTTCATAGTGACACTTCATTGTTAGCTAACTGTAAAGAGAAACTTGTCTCAAGCATTAAATACTCAGTAAAATGTTGTTCACGTTGTACCCAGCGGTTAACTTTAGCATGTCGCTAACTGCAGCATGCTAGCGACAGTGCCGCATGTCTCTTCTATCTTCTAAGTAATTTAGACTTTTCACGTGATAGCAACAATATTGTATTGTTTCGCCTTACATATTCAAATCTGCGCAAATCCCTTCATCACTAAGAGACAACATCTACACGATAAAATGCTTTAAAACCGGTTGTCAGGACCATATCGTTGCTGTATGGTGCCGCTACATCTCGCGAGAATTGTTCTTCTTCTATTTCTATTTTCGGTAAACTTTAAGCTAGTTTCACGTTTTTTCTGCCCTCTACAGTTCGAAATTAAATTGAGCTCTCATTCAATTGACATACTTCATATTTCTAAGCACTATTCGGGAAATGCCCAATGTAGTGGAATAAAACGATCTTATATTAAACTATCTCAAAATGATCAATTATAATCTAATCAATTATAATCACACATCTCTCATCTACATTTTCAGTCTGCTAAACTGGTGGCTACGTTTGCCCAACCTTTCACCCTCCTTCAGTCTTATCTGGATATGTTACTGTTAGGTCGAATCTAGGTTTTGACCTTAACTGCAATGGCTCTACTACTACTACTTTTCTTTTTTGGACAAATAAAGAATAGAGAGTTCACATGAATGGTTCTCAGCTAGTACACATTCATCCTCCCGGGGTCTCCTCAGGGCTGCATCGTTTACCCACTTTATACTTGTCTTGTACACAAACAACTGTTATTATAAAGACAGGTATGTTCTTATGTTTGCAGATGACTTGGTAATAGTCAGCCTTCTGCGCAATGAGGAACATGGATTCATGACCCAGTGGTTGGACAATTTGTCACTTGGCGTGTCTTTTCTGCAGCTGAACGTGTTTACAACCAAAGATTTGTTCACTGACTTTCACAGAAGACCTACTTCTCATTAAAGGGGAGTCTGTGACTGCAGTCCAGCATGTATTGTATGTATGTACTGTAGCGACTGCCATTTTTATTCATTGTTGTATTCATTATGTACTTACTTTGATTGACTGCTGTCTGTGAGCCAAATTGCCCCTCTGGAATATTAAAGCTTTATTCTACCGTCATTGGTTCTTCTATCTGATTCTTCTAAATTTTACTCATTAACACCTTACAACAACTTTTTAACTTGCAGTTCATTGGGTCATTACTGCTATGCCCATTATATTACCTAATATTACTTACCTGCTTCCATACCGTTACAACGAATCTTACAAGGCTTCACAGATACCTGCATAAAGTTATCATACCATAGTGCTTTCTAGTGTTGACAGAGAGATTTACACTTTCAATAATAAGTAAGTAAATAAATAAGCATACTTTGTTTTTGACGCCATGTGTAGTATATGCAGTACCACCTCCGCGCCGCTAGGGGTCCCCCCTAGCGGCGCGGAGGTGGACTTGTGGTTTCGCGAGAGTTGTGTCGGTGTACAAACATGTCGGCGTTCAAGAGAAAACGTGGAGGACAGCTTGCTGGGAAAAAGGCGAAGAAAGTCAAATTTGTTGCAGATGCAGGTGAAGCTGAGCAAGAGAAGAAAAATGAAGTCACAATCCCAGCACCGGTTTCGTCGGTAAGGGCTCGTGCTCGTTATTAGCCACTGAAGCTGGTGACTCGATAGCTAACTGAAGCTCACCAGTACTCTGGGGGTATATTTTCTGTAAATTACTTAACGTCATTGGTAAACCAAAACGGCGAACACCATGTAGCTGAATAGTGTAATTTAAGTTAATTTAATGCGTGTATGTTAAAAACAGTCCAGTCTGAAATCAATAACCGTTCATGCACAAAACAGGGCCAAGCACACTTTGTTCAGTCTGTTACTACTTTTAGGAATGAAGAGGTCCTCTGGATGCACATTGGAAATGTTTTAAACACACTATTAATTAGCGTGTTTTAGTTTATTTTGATCTTATGAATGAAATTCTCTTTAACAGGGTAAATGGACAAACAAGGAAAGGGTTCTCATTTTCTCCTCAAGAGGCATCAACTTCAGAACAAGACACTTGATGCAAGACCTGAGGACCATGATGCCTCATTCAAAAGCAGGTTAGTGCTGTGTGTCATTCATTTACAGTTTTATTTCAACCAACTACTACCACTACAAGTGCTGACACTTGTTAGATTGTTGCTTATTCTGATGTGGCAGCAGAGATATACGTTTTGTCATAATAACGAGGTTTTTCTTTTGTCTGTTAGATACAAAAATGGACAGAAAGGACAAGTTGTTTGTTGTTAATGAGGTGAGATTCTTATTTCAAATTTGGACACATTTTTATATAATCACATGCATTACAGCATAGCTAAAGATCAGCTTTGTTCCCAGGTGTGTGAAATCAAAAACTGCAACAAATGCCTCTTTTTCGAGGCCAAGAAGAAGCAGGACCTCTACATGTGGTGAGCATTTGGTCTTCGTTACATTCTCTAAAATATTCTGCTGGCCTCTGTAATTACTGTTGTAGAACAAATTTAAAGTAAAATCAATAATGTTCTCACCTTTTCAGGATTTCAAACAGCCCTCATGGACCTTCTGCAAAGTTCCTGGTCCAAAACAGTGAGTTACTTCTGTACTACAGTACCAATGTGTTATAAACAACACCTGTCGTGTGCCATGGGTAAAAACTGATTTATATTGTCTCCACAGTTCATACACTGGCTGAACTCAAGATGACAGGAAACTGCCTCAAAGGATCCAGGCCGCTGCTCTCATTCGATCCTGTGAGTAGCACATGTTGTCAGTGATTCTGTCAATCATAATTAGGCTGTATTAGGGGTATATGTCAGTGATAGGCGGAAGTCGGCCACAAAGACCTGTAATTTTTTCCACACCACACCAGATGACTTCAGGGATTAGCACAACTAGGGCTGCAGCTAATCATTATTTACCGATTTGAATTCATTGTTTGATCTTTAAAAGGTCAGAAAATTGTGAAAACTGGCCATCACAAATTCCCAAATCCCAAGGTGATGTCAACCCAAACCCTAAACACAGTCAGTTATAAAAAGTATATATGATGTAAAGTGGGAAATCCTCATATTTGAAAGGCTAGTAGTAGCAAATGTTTGGCATTTATGCTTAATAAATTATATAGTAATTTATTTTTTGTTCTGTTGTGTAATTAAATAATCAACAGCAGCACAGATACAACTTAAGAAGACCAAATACATTGCTCTTTCCACTCTTGGTGCATGATTCTCCAGCTGTTCTGACAAACTGTTGGCCTATAATATGCTTTGGATGTAATAATGAAGGTCAGAACTTGTCAGACCTGAACAAGAGCTAAACTTTTTTTTGTTATTTCCTCCTATAGAAATTTGACAAAGAGCCCCACTATGCTTTACTGAAGGAGCTCTTCACCCAGGTGTGTATACAAGATGCATACGTTAATCCTGACCACACTTTTGGTAACAGCCTTGCAAAGTAGACTCAGTTCAGTTGAACTGTAGCCAGAAGATGACACTGTGGAAATGTGAGACGGAGCTGATCAGTGTTACATAACTTAAATATTCAACAATTTATCATTTAGTTGGCGCTGTGTATGTTTAAACTGAGAAAAACGGTGTTGGATTGAGCTGCTAAAACTCCCCAAGTTTACTTGTAACATAACTTGGACTTTGTCAACCCTGATAATTGTTTAGATCGAATGAGCAGGCTTAACTTTAGTTTAAAAGCTGAGTAGGTTGTATGTCTACATTATTTAATTTAGGAAGTACTCAATTTGTTTTCTTGTTGTAGACATTTTCCACTCCACGCTACCACCCTAAGAGTCAGCCTTTTGTGGACCACGTCTTCACATTCACCATCGCAGACAATAGGATATGGTTCAGAAACTATCAGGTAATGTTTCATTACTCTTGGTAAAGTCTTCTATGCCTGCATTCTCATTTTTAGAAAATATTTCATTGTTCTTCTGTCGTGGGTTAGGGTTGTTCTTTCCGTTTATGTACATTTTATAATATTTTCTCTGTTCCACGTTCAGATCATCGAGGAGGATGCCTCTCTAGTAGAGATCGGCCCTCGCTTTGTTCTCAATCTCATCAAGGTCTTTCAGGGGAGCTTTGGAGGGCCGACGCTCTATGAAAACCCAGACTTCCGGTCTCCTAACATGGTAAAATCCAGTGCACGGTAGTTTATATTGTATGCATGGGGATGTTATTGAATCCCATTTAATGTCCCTGATACATTACCATGCTGCACCATCAGTCACTCCTCTCTTCACACACCCACAGCACCGGCGACAGATCCGACTGGCGGCGGCAGCCAGGGTGCGTGAGAAGCAGATGGTGAAGGAGATGCAGAAAATGAAGAGGACCGATGCGAAGGATGATTTGACCAGAGATGTTACAGCTGACGTATTCATGACACCAGCCGATGAGACGCCTGTTCACATTGAGACAGAAGCACCTGCGCCGAAACCGGTGAAGAAGAACAAACACAAAGCGTTCAAAAGACAGAGGATGGCACGCAGGTAACTGGATGGACTGGATTAAGCTGAGCGAATGGCTTACTGCTGCCGCGATGCGAAGAAAATGTGATAATGCTACGGTTCAGTCAGGTCTGAAGTCCAATATTATGAGCTTTTTGTCTTTTTTACAGAAAGACTGTGCAACACGTTATTATCATATGACAACACGAGAAAATCTTAAATATGCATATGTTGTGTTCAGTGTCTGTTGCCATAGTTTATGGATTCACACAATATATATTTAGCTCCCTCACTCAGGAGGATTGCAGTCTAGCTGCCATTAAGGCCTCTGTTTCTACAATACTGCAAACTATATTTGCCCATCCATTTTTGATAAAAGTAAATATTCCAGTGTAAAAAACAAACATGTTTATTGCTTTTGAGTGATTACAGTTGTTTTGTAAGTCATGGAAATAAAATGATTTACATACTGTCAGTGTCATCTGCTGTATACTTCAGACAAATGGTTGTCAAAGGTGTCAGCATACACGTTCAACATGAGGTACAATTATGGCCATGTACATGCAGAGAGACACTTTCAGAAACATGTACCAATGTAGCATTTCATAAATGTCTTATGGGTTGTTAACGGCTCACTGTACGAGTTAAAGGAAGGAAAGAGGAAATACTGAACGCAGACAGATGACTGCTGTAATCGGACTACGAACCATTTAGACTTATTTACAATCTTAGTTACAGGCAATGCTGACATGTTGAGGGACGTCTGACGCAAAATACAGTAACTGTATATCACTTTCTGTATCTCTATGAAATTATAAGCTCAGCATTGTAGTGGTCTAACTACACACGGGCACATAATGTCACCCGTCTGGTTATCTTTCCACAAATCCAGTGACAAAGCTCTGCTGAAATGCAACCTTCCCACTGTGCCCATTACCCATTAAGTCCAGGTTTTCCTGGGTGCACCCACTGGCTGTACTGCCTCCTCTGGGAAACTGGCCACCACTGAAGTCAAAGTGTTTATTTAAAGGGGAATTGAGTGGACTGTAATCACTCCTCCTCCACGTCCTCGTCAGGACAGCAATAATATTCTACAAAGCAGATCTGTCCGTCGTCGTTCCTGACCAGGTACTGCAGAGAGAGGAAGCCCCTGCTGTCTGTCCTCACAGAGACTTTACAGGACAAAGCCAGGGCTTTTGTGGATGGCTTCAGCAGGGACATCTTGTACCTGTTAGCAGAGAGGACAGCACAGAATGTGGAGCTTTAATACAACTATTAGAAAACACAGAGACAAGAATATTGGCCAAAAGGTGGACATTATAATGCAAGGTGGACCTGGTGAAAACAAACTAATTGTCCTTTTTACTGGCAGATATTTTGTCCAGACAGAGTAGGAACAGTACACAGGGGTAATTATTAATACTACTAATGGTTGCATGTCATTTAGTGAGTCAGGATGTCCATTTCCCAGGCATGGGGAATACAGTCCACTACATTCACAGAGCAACACAAGGAAACTAATTGAAAATAATTTCTGGGAAATAAATAGCACATAATTTCTGTTAATTCATCCACTACTTTGTCTCTGCCATTATTTTGTTGTGGATGTCATGTAACTTCCTCCAGTCCTCCTAGTCCACCCCATGGTTGCAACAGTACAGTTTATTTTACTGTGCTCATTCGCTCGCGTGGCTTCTCACCACTGCTACGCAGACGATTCGCAGCTTTACCTATCCTTCCTGCCAGACAACCCCACCGTCTCGGCACAGATCATGGACTGTCTCTCAGACATATCTGCATGGATGAAGGCTGGCCCCTTTAACTAAACCTCTCTAAGACTGAAATCTTGGTCATTCCAGCCACGCAATCTATCCACCATAACATCAAACTACAAATTGACTCTTCAATCATCACTCCGACCTGGGTGGTGTGAAACTTGGGGGTCATGACTGATGTCCTTTTCAGACCATGTTACTGCTGTCTCTCGGTCGTGCCGCTTTGCTCTATACAACATAAGAAAAATCAGGCCTACCTTACTCAGTACGCCACCCAGCTAATGGTACAGGCCATGTTTACCAGCTTGTGCAGTGAAACCCCTACAAATGGTTCAGAACACAGCAGCACGTCTGGTTTTTGATCAGCCCAAAAGAACTCATGTCACTCCATTACTGAGTAACCTCCACTGGCTACCTGTGGCCTCCCGATTCAAGTCATTAATGCTGCATACAGAGTGTCTGCTGGGTCTGCACCCATCTACCTAAACTCCATAATACAAGCTTACGTTCCTTCTCGGCCATTTTGCTCCTCCAACAAAAGCCGCCTGGCTCTGCCATCCCAATACACAAATCAATCTCAGTCCCAGCTGTTCTCATCCGTGACACCCCAATGGTGCAACAAACTACTATATGCCATCAGAGCAGGGGCGTCCCCTCTCTAACTTCAAGAAGCTATAGAACACATATCTTCCGAGAACACTTCCTCTTATAACACCTCTAACTCCTAACCTCTAACATGCACTTCCTGTGTTCTTCTTCTTCTATCCCCTTACAATTCTCTTTTATTGATTGCAATTTTTTGTTAACTCACTTCCTTCCCTAGGTATTTACCCCACTGATGCCATACATGCTATTAGCTCTTACTAGTATTTATTGCTGCCCTTACTAGTATGTATTGTCAGCTTTAGATTTCGTGCTGTATTGATGCTCTGTTGATGCTTGTATGATGTTCCTCAAATGTAAGTCGCTTTGGATAAAAGCATCTGCCAAATGAGTAAATGTAATGCATTGTAATGTAATATGCTAACCTGTTGGTTTGTGTCTTGGTGCATCCGAACAGCTCCATCATGTCAGAGTCTTTGGGATAATCATAATGGGCACTTCCCGAGTTCCCAAACGTCGACAACCTGAAGAAACAAACCAGATTTGACAGTTTAATTATTGAACAGATGATATGTGTATTTGAACATGGGTCTTTTGAGTTTTAGAAATATAATCATGAGCTGCATTATACTGTAGCTTTGAAAAGCTATTTTAGTTTTGACAACAAACCTGAAGTATGGCTGGCTGGGAGACATGGTGATCTGTAGCACCTCACTGGTCATGTCTAGCTCAGAGAAGGCTTCTTTCAGACTCTCGGACAGCAGGATCACCTTTGAAGAGAGCCAAAAGATACATGAGTTGTAATTATGTACTGTTTTCATAGAACTTGCAGATATTGTCATATAAATTCTTTATGGGTTTGTAAAGTAGTCATTGCAAGCAACAGAAAAGGAGTATTTTTACTGTTAATGTGTAGTATCTAAAGAGATGATGTGTATGAGTTTACTATTAGTTTTTTTCAAGTTGGCCACATTTATGTCTCTCATTATATGAAACACTGAAAGACCACCTTGTTTGTGACGTTGGTGCTGCAGAACTCAAAGTCAATTGGCTCTTCTGGTTCTTGTGTGTTGATCTTGCACACAGTCACCACCCCACCCTCCTCCAGGAACAGGATCAGAGGGTAACCGTACCCCCTGTAGCACATCCGTAAGGCTGTGGATACTCCTGCAACATTACATAAGGGAGATAATGGAAATGCAGTGTCATGTCTGAGATGGATAATAATCTAACTATGGCTAAAGAGATTTACTGTGTTTAAACAGAATTTGGTTTCATTGTTTCCCTTTAGCTTACTCTCCATTAAGGTTTCTTTTGTCTTTACCTGGTACTGTGCTTCCTCCAAAGATATTAAGACAGTCCAGCAAAACAGTGAGGTTGACCTGAAAACCCACCAAATCTTCCCTTATGGTGAACTCTTGGAATATCTCAGCCTGGAATAAAGAGAAAGCATGTCACCATTATAGGGGATACATTTAATCGAAACAGCATTTTGGGTCAATCAAGACCCAACTTGATCACTTCCTTTGTGTTTACTCAATTATAAAGTATTATCATGTATGTAAATGAACATGGGAGAAGTTTACCTTCAGGGGGTTTCTGTCTTTTTTTATTTTTTTTTAAACTTAACCTAACCAAGTAGTTTTGGTGCCTAAACCTAACCAGGAAGTAAGGCTTTCTGGCAAAAGGGCCTGAGGGCAAACATCTCCCAGGTACACACACCTGGATGAAGGCATTGGCTTGCAGACATTTGGAGTCCTCCACTGTGACCTTCAGGCCGTTGGGTGTGGCGCTGAAGATGGCATGGTCTTTGAAGGTGATGGCTTTCAGTATGTTGGAGAGATTGCGAGCATTATCCAAGCTGGCAACTAAAACGTATTGTTCACTGTCGTCTTGCGACTGGGTTGACAGAGGCATTGCTGCACTGAAATGAAGACGCGCAGGACTTTACAAGAAAAGTTTGGACGGAAAATGTTCTGGAAGGTGAAAAAAAAACTGCACAAAACTATGAAATAGCAGCTAAATTAATATATCGTTAACATAGATGTCTCTTTCATTAGGACATGGATACTATTTTCATTTTTCCAATCAAGATTGAACTCTTAGCCGAAAAGGTTCATATAAAATGTACCACACATGCACAAAACTGTCATTTTGCTGTCTGTTATTGACATTGTAAGCTAAGTTTGGCTATATGGCAGCGAATCACATGTTATTAGAGATTAACAGAACGTAAATAACAAACTGCCCAAAATTTCTATCTAGAATCCCGGATTAATACACTTTAAAACGTTTTTACTGGCAACTGTGATTATGTGTCACTTACAAAGTTGTAATTCAGACCCTCATACGGTTCTGTTTTGAAGAAAAGCGCCCCGCTTAACTAACAACTTCCGGTTCTGACCACGGAAGTAGCTTCTGCGCATGTGTGAGTCCATTCCAGAGACTTCGCAGCAGGGTCCAAAACACCTGAGAAATATCCTGGGTACAGCGGCAATACGTGACAACAGTGGTGTTTTGTGATCTAAAGAGGTGAGACTTATTACTCAGTTAAAGTCACATGGTTAGAAAATGTTGTGTAGTCTGCCGGTTAGTTATAGTACCTTCACCACCGAGTGATGGCAGTAACGTAAGCTAACGTAAGCTAACGTTAGCTAACAGCTAACAGTCGCTCAGTTAATTAAGTTAACGTGATTTCTTTGTTCGCTGATCAGTAACGAGACAGATTAATAGCACACAAAAGGCTCTCTGTCTCAGGTTGGGGCCTCCACAAGGTTGACGATTAAGGTTGCCGAGCAGAGCTGAAAACACAGCCTCTCTTCTTCTTCGCTACGATTACTTAAACTAACAACGTTAGCTTCCAACATGAATTTCACTGACAGGTCGTGACAAACGTCACCGCATTGTGAAATGGTATGGGAAAGCTTACTAGAATGATTCCGAGAATAAACCTCATCAAATACGCATCTTGACACTGGAATTCTGCTTGTTACTTTTACTTCTGAACTGTTGCCCCCTGGAAAGATCTAGTGTTGACACTGCAGTCAGGTTGGCTGATATTCATGTTTGTACAGCTCTACCATTCATTAGCTACTGTGAATGACCAGTGAAGTGTTTTTTTTTAAACCAGGCAAATTACTAACACATTCTTATTTAGGGACACATAGGAAGAAGGACAAACAGATAAATAAGAAAGAAACATAACAAGACACAAAAACACATAACAAAGGGAAGCTGGGCAGCAAGGGTAACATATGATCAAATAGGACCATGGTGGAAGCTGTATGAAACACAATGTAAAAGGTATGAGTGAGTTTTCATAGAGGTGGACGCTACACAAATCAGCTTTAGGATCTATCCTCCTGTCCTGTGGTTGGCTAAATAATTATAATTGTTTCTCCAAATATAAGTTAGGATTGAAGTGATGTTATTTTGTTACATTATTTGAACATTGTTGCATCATTAATATTGAAATTGTATTGAAAGTTGGGTGATTGCTTAAGTGTTATGATTGTGTGCACACCCTCTGTAAGTAAAAAAACCCAAACTGTTAAGAATTTACATCCAAATTTAATAACCACAGTAATTAATATTCAGGCCAACTCCTTTCAAAGCAGGTGGCACTGTAGACACACATGTGGGGGGTTTAACCAAACTTTTCAAATCTATTAAATGGCTACCTTATAACCCACAGGGATATCCATATTGACAATTCAGTTGCAGGTCTTGTCCAATAAAATAACATTTAAAATTAATCATTAAAAGTTTTACACCCCTGTGTTCATGAAGAGATATATATATATATATATATATATATATATATATATATATATATATATATATATATATATATATATATATATATAGACAACTTATGAATCTCTTTGTCTTCTTTCTCGGCTTCAGATTCATCATTTTCGGCGGCCTCTCTGAGCCACAGTCATGGTGTGCATTCCCTGTATTGTGATTCCTGTCCTGTTGTGGGTCTACAAGAGGTTCCTGGAGCCATTCCTCTATCCTTTCATTTCACCAATTATCAACACATTCTGGACCAAAAAAGCGGTCCAGGAGACTGGCGCTACTGACCAAAAAGTTAGTGAAAAGAGTAATGGGACTTCAAAGGTAAGGGATAATAAGTACTAATGATTTTATCTTGTCATTTTAATAGTGAAACCCTTTTTCCTTTTATTAATTAATTTGTGTAGGGCTGGGTGATAAGTCAATATTGTATGTTTAATATGTAGAACAGTGGCATCCTGTTAAGTGTTTTATACATATATTTGTCAGAATAATATTCCTTTTAACACTGTGGTATTAATTCCAGCCGTGTTTAAGATACATTTTTAAAAAATCTGTATTTGTTGAAGAAAAACATAATGCTTCCACAACTCATCTACCAGGAACCACTTAAATACAGCTCATTCAGACACTTTGAATGTATTTAAAGTGGTTGAAGTTGGCTGGCTAAGTTGGCTTTCACTTGACCTAATCGTGTCTAATAATGGTGTTAGTTTTGAGGCTCTTTCATGATTGCATGTTGTTGATGACGGCATTTTTTGAAAGACATTTTCTTTCTAATGTGTTTCAGTCTGAAATGAATGGTGAGGCCACTGCCAACGGATCCGCTTTGGCAGCAGATAAGAAGACAGATTGACAGCTCCGAATGTTTATGATGCATCTTACACAGTGTAAATATTTAATTAATATAATATAGAGAAACTATGAAATAACTTATGTCTTCTTTGAATGGAGTGGTTTTTATAACCTTCCAGCTTGTGTGTAACTTGTTTTAAATCTTCTCAGTTATATTTAAGTAACTGGTTATTGTTGATAAATTTTCCTTGTTAATCACGAAATCATACATCCATTTTCTGTATTAAATATTCAGTCTCAATGAAATAGTTTTATAAGTCAAACTCGCAGTTTAATGAATGAATAAAAGAAAACCTTCAAATAAAAAAAGATGCCCATTAATTGCTCTCATGCTTCCACTTCAGCTAGTTTGCTCACTTCATATTATGAAGTCATTAAGGGTTCATTTTAAGTTGTTATATAATACTAGTTGGTCTATAAAGCACTGAATAGTTCTGCTCCAACTCTCAGTCCTTTCAAATCAAGGTGTAAAACTTGCAATTTGCGTTTTATTAAATTAAATACCAGACTTTTCATTCATATCTTGTATTGCGCTGTAACTTTAATTCTCCTATTTTATTAAATTGCACTTATTTTTAACGTCTTTTGTGTTTTACAGTTAATATCTTGCCTTGATGCCTTTTTATATTCTGTGTAAAGTAATTTGAATTGCCTTATTGAAATACAATTGCCTTGCTTTGAATGGGGTTTTAGAAGCTTGATTGTGTGTGCTTGATTTTGACTTTTTTTGTTAGTCACTCATTTTACAGTGACTAAGAAAATTGGCTGTTCTTTTCAGTGATTATCATGATACTGATACATATACATACATTTACAGCACCTACTTGGTTATTCTTGTAGTTTTTCACTCAGAATAGTATCTTAAGTCAAATTAGAGTTTAATCACTGAATTAAAGGATATGTTGTGTGAAGAAAAATGTTTATTGACTGCTCCCATACTGTCAAGTGCCTCTATTTCATCTAATTTGCTGAAAAGTGCATTGATGTTTAAATAGAATATACTAAGACAGTATAAATGTGATAGCGGTGCCTGTGTAAAATAAATACATCCTAGGGGAGTTACAACATGTTTTTAATGACTTCATAGTACTTGTAAGTACATAGAAAACCAAAGTTTAGATCAGGCACTTGGGCTCTATTAGCCCTATTTTTATCTGCAACGTCACAGAAGTAATCAACCGATTATGCACAGGTGCATTTGACACAACCCCAACAGCAGCATTACAGGTGTAGTGGGAGAAATGCCACTAGAGATAAGAAGTATACAGAATTACTGGGTTAATTTAAAGGGCTATAGTCAAGACCATCCAACACAAAACACTGTAAAACCTTGTGGGGAAAAGGACTTGAGGCTAAAAGCTTCAGATGGACAGTTACATTGAAAGGCAACAAAACTTAGTAAGGGTGGTAATATTTGTGATAAAGTAGTTATAAGTAAGCTTACCAACAAAGCAAAATGTCTATCTAAGATGTTTTGACAGGCTCTTTCAAATAAAAAAGTTAAATTTGTAAAGAAACTTTGATTTTTCTGAAAATAGTAATTTTAGGTACTTTTATATCTTGCTAAACCAGCAAGCTAAAATGGGCCGCGTACACACACACACACACTCTTACACAGAAGTTACACAGAAACTGAGGGTAGAAAACAGGTTCATAGGTTTTTAGGCCACTTTTACATCCATGTAAAACCTAAATAATCTTTTACTTTACACAGAAAATAGACACAAAGACACCAGTGTGCACAAACACACACTCATACAACGCAATCAGTTCATTTTTAATATCTTTTCCAATGAAATAATTGTTCAACTTTTTATTGTATGAAATGTATTTACGGTGTTGTTACTGTGGCACTCCAAAGACACGTCAGTTTCCTGCTAAAATTGACAGCTGGTCCATTTTACCTGAGTTCAGCTAAAATGGGACAGAGGGAACTGCTGACACTCAAACTTCCAAAACAATTGTAGTTTTTTTCATTTTTTTAGCAAATAAATATTTAAGAGACCCATACCAATTTATAAAAATAAAATCTCATGCAGAGTTTCTTTTATAGTCTTATAACTCATTTACCAAAAAGTGGCCCATTTTAGTTAACTTCACCTACACTTTGATCTAATAGATATTCTACAAAAGAAGTGAAGAGATGAGAGTTATCGAATCTTATTTCAGTGTCTCAGACTAACTAATATGATTGAGGGGATATGAGTTGGGTTTTGTTGTTGTTCTTTTGAATAATTTAAGTAGGCCTAGTAGACAGTCTGATCCACATTCCATACAGTTGGTGGCGGTAATGCACCAATTTATTATTTGCCAACAGCCAATAAAATTAAAACAAGAAGAAGAAGAAGAAGAAGACGTAATGATGCCCATCTGTCGTCACTACGCAAGGGATAGCGACGTGGAAAACATGGAGGAAAGCACTATGTAGAGTAAACTTAATTGTCTCAAATTCCACACAATTTCAAGTATTTGACTTTGTAAGTTTCACATGATATACAAATTGGATTGAACGGGGGATTTGTGTAATTAAAAAAACAAAACACGTAGCCCCTCATCTGTCCTGGGTGCCGAGAGACCGCGGAAACTGCCAGAATCATTTATGACAGGTAAGCCGAGCAGTCAGCTGATAGCAAACAAGCAGTGCACGTTAGCTGCTTTTTGAACACGGAGTTATTTACCACAAGTTAACAGAACTCTGTCATGAATCAGAAATGTACCTAGCTTGGATTTCATGCTAATTTGAGAATGTCAGTGTACCGTGTTTGACAGTCGAAATTGCCAAAGCACTGAGTATTCTTGCTAGCTAACGTCGTTCAAGTTGGTTAACTGAAGCAGCAGATTCAAGTGCAGTCTTTTTGTCAGCGGATACAGTTAAAGACGCATGAGATGGCGCACTGAATCAGGACACAACATTTTGCTCTGGCAAGGACATGGTAGTCTGTTCACTAGTGAACCTAAGCGCATAAGAAAATTGTCTGTATGGTGACCTGTACTATCCCCCTCTTAGCTCAGGTTTGTGCCTCTCTTTACATTATACATGAGAGGCACACACGTCCCTGTGGTTTAATTGGTGCCTCCAGTGTGCTGCAGTTCACTCGGGCAAATGTTTGCTCGCTGGCTACACCTGTGTGTCAAAGGTGTGTCCTTTTTGAGAAGACAAAACACATGTCCTGGTTCCTTGTGTGTCATCCTGTAGTGAACTTGGCCTCTCTCATTGTTTTGCATTGACATTGGTGAGGACAGATCTGTTTTGCTTACATAAATTGCTCAAGTCAAGAATTTGATCTTGAAGTACATGGGTAGGGAGATCAAAGATCCATACGTTTATTTCCCATGGCAGCATGCCTTTTTTTATTGCTTGGGTTAGCTTTGCCAAGGAGTAGTGAAACTACTAGTGGCGTTTACTCTGAATTGTAATTATGTTTACAAGTAATATAATGAATCTTACTGCTGTGCCAGTTACATGTCCTACTGGCCTTTATACATTATATGAACTAAGGTCACTGTATTTATGTCAAAAAGCAGATTCTCCAGTAAGGTAGTGTATATGGTTATTGTGACTGCATGTTTTTACTGAGCTGATCAGACCTTTTCTGGAAAAACAACAACTGGCAGATTTGTGTTTTGAGTTAATAATTCATCTTTGTGATGGCGCCAAAGATAAAAGCTTTTCCTCTGCCCCAGGATTTGGCATATGCTTGGTGAAAAAGCAGTGAAGAGTGGTGAGTCTGGCTGAGTGGAGCCAGCAGAGATGGGTGCCAACACTAGCCAAGTCAGTGACCTGTCTGAAAACCCCAGCCTCAAGGCCCTGGTGGGCACGGAGTCCATATCGGAGAATGACCCTTTCTGGAACCAGCTCATCTCCTTCACCTTTATCAGTCCCACTAGCAGGTACACAAACACACACATAGAAAGGTCTAGTTAGACATGTGTCTGACAGCAAACAACAACAATGAACTATGAAGGATGCCTCTAACAACATCTTGAAAAGCCCTCCATTTTTGACAAATTTCCCCAAGCATCTACTCAACCCATCCAATGAGAAAGTCCTTCAAGATTAACTGTAGACAGGATGTTTGCAGAGCTTATTTCAGTACTGATCCAGCAGGGTTACCTGTTACTAGATCGACTAGTCAACATTTAGTCCTTTGTAAAACATTCTGAGAAGTAAAGAGACTGCATTCCCTCTTGCAGCTGGACTGGAACTCATGTTACAAATTCACATAGGAAGGGCATTTCATTCATCAATCTATGTAGTGTTATTAACACGGATGAAAATTAGCTGTTTAGCTAACTCTGGTATATTTACATTGAAGTCTGTCTACGGTGTTTATTAATGTGCATTGTCCCTGCTGGTAGCTAAATAAATAGAGCTTGTGCTGTTATGCACCAATGCTGCTCAGTATTGGGCTATGCTTGCCTTTTATAATAAAAATGTGGTCATCTTACATATTTATTTGAACACAAACACAAGACATAAAGTGAGCATGTATGCACTGGGGACAAAACAAAAATTATATTAGGCTATTAGAGTGGTTTAAGTCAGGACTGCAACCAATGATTATTTTCAAGACCGAATAAACTGCCAGTTATTTTCTTGATTGACATCACGATATGAGGGCAGCGCTGCTAGTCTGTTTTTGTCTTTTTAAACACCACCATGTCCCTTAATCAGGAAGATCTCTGTAATTTTACAGCATTTAATGGCACTTTCCTCCTGCCTTTTCTCTTTCTGCTGTGCATTTTTTCTCCACACTGGTTGGCCACGCACACTCACGTACTGACTTAACGCTGTGTTGATGTGTGTGTGTGTGTGTGTGTGTGTGTGTGCATGCGATCAGTCGCGTGTGATGACAGAGCTCATATCAGGTTAAAAGCAGGCGGGAGGCTGACGGTCTAAAGGTCTACGGGACTGTGGCTGCCCTGTGACAGATGCAACTTTATATTCTCATTTGACAAAAGTCTGGATGTTATATTTGGCGAGTGCACCCTCGCACAGCGGCACTGAGAGTGCGACCCACATGTTGTGTGGATTCTCATGCTATTAAAAAAGCTTGCTTCGTCATCACTTTCGCTGGTTAAGTTGATAATTAATGGCAGAACAAAACAGTCCTAAGGCCACCACGGCGAGTCCGCTTGTTTAATCTCCACAAAGTCATCTTGTTCACAGTGTCGTCGGTAAGTAGCACGCCAGACAATAGGCTTTACTATTAGACCAATGAGTACTCATGGGAGTCGTAGCGTCACATCGCAATTCGTTAAAACTCTGGTTGGAGGGTGTTAATGTCAAGCCCTGATGACAACAGAAAGCAGATGATAAAAGCAATCATGTCCTCTGATCTGTCCTTTTTTCTTGCGTATATTTTAAGTATCTTCTCCTTTTTTTTTATTTTAACTCTTTTCTTCCCTGGTTTTCCTTTTAAACAGTGGGGACTCTAAGTTGCTGGAAGAGGCTGTTATCCCCCTGGCCAAGGTCCTCAGTAAGTTGTCTATGATATAAACGTCCTTTTGTGTGTTGTGTGTTTTTCTAGTCAGTACCTTGGTTATGATGAATATCAACTTCTCCAGAGTTGCATATAATAACAAAAGTTTTTTCTTGTTGTTTGCATGCCAAACTGTCAAATTAGCAAGTTTCTGTAGCTTACGTAATGCTGCTGATACGTTCTCTCCTTCTTCTCTCTCTCAAGTTGAAAACAATCCCAGAACGGGGAACTTTGGCGCTCTTGTGAGAATTTTCCTGGGAAGAACCAAAGAGTTGAAAATCTCTACAGAATGCCAAGAGTGAGTACAATGAACTGTGTCAGTAATGATAGACTCTGTGCATGTCAGTGTTCGCTGTGCGGGAGTACAGGCCAGTTGTTGTTTGATCACAGGCAGTCAGGGAATCTTTATTTTTTACAGGGGCGAAACACTGAAGTGCTTGTAGTTTCCCATGAGAAAACTGCTGAGGTATAACCATCAACACATGTGGCATTATTCTGGACTCCCTTCCAAGCTCCATTTTCCGCAGAGTCACCAAATGCCTCGGGTGGGAACTCCTCATTCTCTGTTAAACATCATTAGAGGTTGGAGATATCGCTCCCCATCTACATCCTACATTTCAGGGTCTGACATAATTGGCATGTGCAAATTGTCAATTTGTGGGTGTGATTAGACAGCCCCATGTTGGTGTTTAGCAGTTGTGAAACACTGTGGCTTGCGCTGGAAGGTTCCAATCATTTCTTGTTTTCCTCTTCACTTGTTTCTCACCAACACTGTCCCACATTTGTCTCTGTCATGTAGTGACTTGTGTAGTATCATTATAAGCTATGGTGGAGGCGACGTTAGTTAACAGTTTTCTTGGTTTTCAAAGTGAAGGCTGTAATGCAGTTATGAGAACTGTTTTTCTTTTTTATTTCCATCATGTTGGAGTTAGGCGAGTTTATTTGGACAGTTCCTTTCAATAACAAGGCAATTCAAAGTACTTTAAGCAAGACATTAAGAAAGGCATTCAGCAAAGATATAAAAAGAAACACAAGGCAACATAAAATAACAATATGAAAGGGGAAGTGTCTTTATTTTAAGAGCACCAGGGGGATGTTCCATATTACTGAAGAACATGCAACTTCAGCCAAGCTCGGACATAAACCAATGGAACATGGCCAGCCCCTTCACAGCAATTATCTTTGTCACAGTTCTACATTTGACCTTGGACATGGTGTCCTTTTTTTCCTCTGTCTCTCTCTTCCGCAGTCAGCTGTTTATCTGGCAGGCCCACAATGCACTGTTCATGATCCGCTGCCTGCTCAAGGTGTTCATCAGGGAGATGAGTGAAGAGGAGCTGCACCTACAGTTCTCCTACCAGGAGAGGGCACCAGGCTCCTGTGGAGGTGAGCGTACCCATGTCACTGTCTGAGAAAGTTTATGAAAAACATCCAAGGAAGTGTTTGGCTCACAGTAGGCACATTATTATCCTTTGCCTCAAGGGTCAAATGTGTAACACTTGTTCATACCTAAAGAGAGATAAGGAATTGGCTTTTTAAGTCTGAATTTGCATCCATTGACTGCAGATCATTTTTTGGCCTCAAACAGCAGCCCTGTCTGAGCCTAGGTCCCTAAATAAATATTGCAAATGGGTGCCCTCTTGATGACCATGCTGAAAGTAAACACTTTTTTTGGTGCTCAGATAAAATGCCATCAAAACAAAAGCAAACCCCCCCCCCCCCCCCCCAAAACTTCAGCTTGTCCTTTTTTTATTTTTGTCATTCTGCCATGGCTGCTGCTTATTCCTGTAACCAGTATTCATGCACACACTAGACATTTTCACAAAGACCGAAACACACTCACTCACTTGCAGCTCCCTACGGACCTTGGGTTATCTCTGCTGTGTTGGATAATTATGAGGATGAGGATAGTAACCTCCAATAAAATGCCTTAAGGTATTAAAAAGTCTCAAATTTAATCCACAATAATCTTAAATATTTTCCCTTGCCTGCTGTAGGCAGTATTGTTAGTTATGAAATGTTGACCTGTAGCAAACTCTGTTACTACTGCTAGCTACAACAGGAAGCTGACTGTCACATAATGGGCAAGTGTGGATTTTAGCACTTTAATTAACTTAAAAGAACAAATCATTTTAAGTGGGTCCATCCATCCATTTTCCAGGTTGTGTTAATTTAATGAATTATATCCATTATATCATTGGGAATAATTGTTCTATTCTACTGGTAAGTACTGAAAAATGTGATATAGTAATGCATAGGTCTAGGCCACATCATTCCTTCTCTTTTTAAATCATACTTTAATACTTTGGCCAGTATGATTGTGTAACCGGTCTTAAATTACATTCTATATGGTCTTCTATCTTTAAAAGATCTTACAGTGGGTTAGGGTTTGAACCCTGCAGAAACCCTGTAACCCCAACTAGCAAATTCCTCTGTACAGTGAGCCTGAAAAAGGGAAGATGGGAAGGATAGAGAAAGGGAATGGTACAGTGGGAGCAAAGACTCCCTCTGAGACTGACACACTGAGTATGATCAACAGTGAGCTGCCTGTCACATATGTCTGTGTAATAACTCCCTGAACCCTTTTATGTAGAAACAGGCAGCCAGGACCTCCTTGAAGAGCTGTTGTCCAACCTCGTTCACCTGATCGTCGACGTGCCCCTCCTGTAAGTATCTGCCTTGTTTGTGTATTTCCCTCACTGTCCCCACACAGCGATTTCTTAATATCACAATGCTAATAGTTCAAGATTACTTGTTTGACATTATACCATCAGCATAATATTAAACATGTATTTTTGATTTTTGTGCAGTTTCTCAGCCCCGCCCATCTTTTGGTTTCTTGTTTTTATCCATGTTTGTTGGTCGTTAATGTGTCTTACGGTGTTAGTCATCGAGCAGTTAATGAAAAGCAGTTTGTGAAAAGTTATGTGTAACTCTGTCTTTGCGTGCTCCGCTTGCTCATTCGCTCCTTGATTCACTAACCAAGAGAGGCTGAAATCCATTATGGGAACAAGGTTAGGCTCAGATGTGTCCATGTTTCACAGGAAGGGAGAGGACTATGAGAAATGAAGAAAGAAAGAAAATGTTGTTTCGGAAGAAGAGAAAAGGCTTGAAATTAAAGTTGGATTAGGAGTGGTGCCAATGAGTGGGAGAGGAGGGAACATAATGATTGAAAAATGGTTTCAGCCTTTGCTCCCGGTGGGCGGTGTGCACGCTAACACACTCTGCTTTAATGAGTGAATATTTTGGTGTATTTATTTACTTATTAATGGTACAATTATCTTCTGCCTGCCGCTCGGTCTGTCACAGAGAGATGAATATGCAGTATGTCCTCAAAGTCTCCTCTGCAGTGTTAAAAGACGTTCCCAGAAACATGACTGAAATTGCTATTTCCTTGATGCAGCATCTTCCACTTTTCGTCTCTTTTCCCTTGTGTGTATTGTGTCATTCTTGACGTCCCCCTGCCTGCCAATCTACTTTCTCTTTCTCCCTCCTTCTTCGTCTCTCCTTCTCTTCTGTTGTCTCTGGACATCAAACCCTGGCTCTTGTGTAAATGCATTCAGCATTCCAACATTATTCATTGTTCCAAGCTCCAAGACTCTACCTGTTTTTCTTCCCTTCAACACTTTGTGGCTGTCGGCTCATTTCCTCTGTACGTGCTTCTGGTTTGGAGGGAAATATTACCATTCTTTTCAATTTTTTTTATAGCTCCCCCAAATTCCTAACAGACCTCTGTGCTGTGATTGTAACCTTTTGGAGAAACTTTTTGTGAAGAAAGACAGATGTCAGTAGTTCCAAACTGTCAAATACTATTTTTGATTTAAGCCTTTTCTGTGGCATGAATGTCATATTTTTATAGCAAAAGCTATGTGAAATATTTAGTAACCTAACAAACCTGACTATTTAACATGTGCTTATTTTTAATTTTGCTTTTTATTTAGTAATTTTGATAAGATTATTTATACCTTGACACAGAAGCAAAGCAAGGCAAGTTTATTTGTAAAGCACATTTCAACAACAAGACAATTCAAAGAGCTAATTAATTGCATAGGAGACACTATGGTGGCTCTTTGGCTCTTGTGCTAAATAATATGTCAGGTCCTCCATTTGTTCAAATTTCACTTTTGTTCTTACTTCTAATAAGCCAGACGACGACGACGACGACGACGACGACTACTACTACTACTACTACTACTACTACTACTACTACTACTTCTTCTTACATATTCAATGTTGTGACGAAACGTGCTCTGTAGAGCAGTTTGTCTCTTCGGGCTACTGTAGAAACATGGCAGTGCAACATTGCGACTACCATGTAAGGGGACCCGCGGTGTATGTAGATAGAAATGGCTCATTCTAAGTTAATAAAAACAACAGTTCATTATGTTAAGTCTTCATACACCACTGAAAACATAGTTGTGGATTTTAATTTGCATTTCTGTCAATAGATCCTCCTAAATTTTACACACTGAACCTTTAAACACCTCTGAGGGTTGTAGTACAAGAATGATGATGAAAGTGTGAAACATGCCTCATAGTGTGTATCTGTATTTGTACTGTATTTTTTAATGTTTTCTGTATGCTGGTGTTATGTGCCTATCTATGCTGATGAGTCTAACTTTGTAGAGCCCAAGTCAGATTATCCTGTGGGGACAATAAAGTAGCTGTCTATTTAAGAAATTACTAAACTATACTACATATATTAACTCCCCATGCATCTGTCTTTGCCTGTAGTGACATCACCTATAGCATCCTGTTTGAAGCAGTGACCACGCTGCTGGTATTCTTCTCCTATCAGCTCTTCCACAAAGAGATCCTCCGAGATGGATTAATCTACCAGCACATCATGAAGGGACGATGGTGAGAAAACACACACTCAGTTTGTACTGTACTGAAGGCCACCATTAACTTAACGCCGCAAACAGAACTATTAAACATATATGGCTTAATGTATCCCTTGACTCTAACTTTAACCCAAAAACAAGCATCAAAATATAAAAAAATAGAAGTACAAAATGTGAAATAAACTCATAAAGCTGAAATACTTTCATAAACCTTCGACTACTGTATGAGTTACTACCACTTGCCTCTGTAACTGGGACGTCCACAGTCTGTTGACTTGTTTTTGGAACGCAGGCCCAAATGATTTTGGATCTTCTCCTACCCAATGTGACCGCGTCTGATTCAGCCTTCTGTTCCTCCATCCATACTCTGATAAAGTTAACCTCTGTCTGTGTTTCCAGTCAATCTCATCATGTTCCAAACAATGTCTTCAGTTGATACTAAAAGGAGGAAAAAAAGGAAACACAATCTAGTCAGCCAAGACCTTTGTATCCCCTGTAACCTTGTAGTCTAATATGCTGAAGGAAAGTGAATCAGCAAGTCTGATGATAATATGAAAATTACAATAACCATAAACTAAAATAAAAATATTTTAGCTTTTACTAAATGATAGTAAAAGCTAAAATAAAAATAATAGTTAACCTTTTGATGTTGACCTGTACTTGTACTTATCTTGAATAACAGTTAATGCAGGTAAATTCATTTTGAAGTGTAGTTGTACTAGTGGAGTTTAGATGGGTGGACAGAGGATGGAAGTAATATTATTTTAAGGTTCTCACAGCTTAAGGGCCAAATGAGAGCACTCTGGATTTATTGCCAAGGCTTCCAAGTAGCTGGTGTGGGTCTGTTGAGAAAACAAGGCTGCGTGGAAGTAGAAAAGCAGCGATATTGTGCATAACCAATTACATGTATGTCACTCACTGGGAGAGAGACGATCTGATGATGTGGATGAGCAGTCTTTAAATTGACAGTAGCATCTCAGTCTCTTTGGATGTACACACACACACCTGCATGTACATGTCATAAGAGATCCTGTGTCCGGGCTTTGCTATTTTAATTCCACTTTGACTGGACTGTCAACACCCAGAATTACAAAGCATTAGTGGCAGATAATGAGGCAGAGTTAGCAAATTAACTGAACTTTTTTCCCCCTCTAAGTTCAATAAAGGGAATAATTCAGATCATTGTGTTGATATTCTTACTTCAATTTTGAGCCGGAATTATTTATCGATTAATCAAATTGAATTAATCGGCAACTTTTTTTTCTGCAAGTATTGTGATAATCCATTTATTGAGTCATTTTTTTAAGAAAAAAGTAGAAATTCTCTGATTCAAGCTTCTTTTAATGTTAATGTTTTCTGGTTTGTTGCCTCCTCTATGACAGTAAACAGAATATCTTTGGGTTGTGGTCAAAACTCGACATTTTTCACCATTTATTGACATTTTATAGACCAAACAACTAATCGGTTAATCGATAAAATAATCGACTGATTAATCGAGAATGAAATAATTAGTCAATCAATGAAATAATAGTTGCAGCTCTACTTCAGTTGTATGTAGTCAGATAGAAGTGAGGGACATCTTTTAAACATTTAAATTAGAGGAAGACCACAGGACCAGATTACCTACATTTCATTGTTGTTTAGACATTCACATAATCCCTTAAATGTTGAAGGCCTTACATATACCTTTGCCAACAAAAGCATGTCCCAAGGAAGCCACTGATTATTGTCCTGTAGCCTTAACCCCTGTTTTGATGGGAAAATGAGGGTGAAAAAAAAATTTATTGCATTTTATTAAATCTATAAGTGGCAAACTGGATGCTTATCAGTTTGCACATAAGCATTTAGATGAAATTGCAACAACAGCTAAGGCTCTCTTCTTACATTTTTCATCTGTGTTCAACACTTCTTGTTGGCAAAGATGATTCAACTGGAGGTTAACACTCAGTAGGCCAGAATTTATTTTACATTAAGATCTGTGCACCTATGAGTGCTGAATGATGTATGCAAGCAATGAACTCTAGTGTTGTTTTTGTTTTCTCGCTAAATGTTGTGATTTGTAAATCTCTGTGAAACTCTATGCTTTGAAATCAAAATGTCCTTCGTTTCAAGTGCACTGAAACATACATTAAATACATATACCTTAATTTTCCTTCATTATGGTGCACTGAAGTAGGTTTCCAGCTGGTTTTTCAAACCTCTTTTCCTCTCTTTCCATTTGTCTCTCTTTTCCCCAGTTTGTCTTTAACTAGTCGACTGGTGAAGACCCTGCTCTATAACTTCATCAGGCAGGAGAAATGTCCACCTCCAGCAGCCCACATCTTTGAGCCGAAAGATGAGGGAGGCCTGCTTTACGGCCTGGCATCTGGGGTGGCAAGTACGAGTACACACATCCACACACAAAGAAAACAAAAGCAAAATCCGTTGTTTTGTTCTTAATTTTGATATTTATTCGTATTGCTTCTGTTAACATTTTACTCGCCACCACAATTTTTCAGGTCTTCCCTAGATTTTTTGATGCTGAGTTGAGTATTATAAATGGTTTCTTAAACTTTGTATTAAAGTTTGGGAGGTTACATCTTGCATTAGGTATAAATGCCTGTGTTTTTATTGCATTGGATGACTATAACTGACATTTTCCAAGCTATATGACATACATCAGTGGTGCCCAACCTTTCTGGATTATGATCTCCCCTAAAATGAGCAATTCCTGTTTAGGACTCCTTGTCACAGTTTATGGGCTTGACTGGTGAGCAGTTGAAACAAAGAGTGATTTTTTTCTTCTAAGATTGTTTCATTTAAATGAAAACTAAATTTTAGGGGCTTATTTCACAAGAAAACTTATTTTGAGAAAAGTTAAAGTTAGAAAAAATCAACCTAATATTGTAATATATAATCTATATATATAATATAATTTATAATAATAAATCTAAATGAATATAAATATATGCTTTTCTTTCTTGTCCTTTTTCTTGTCCATCTTGTGACCCTTTAGATTTATTTAAGACCCACTTAAGGGGTGTGAGCAGTAGGTTGGGAATCACTGGCTTAGATAATATGGTAAAACTCTGGGTCTGCTCATTATTTTACCTCTCGTGTTCTTTGCTCCTTTTGCACTTTGTTGTAGTTATGTTGCAGGTGCAAAAATTAAACCCTTGAGTAGAAATGTTATCATCAGTTTATAGGAATGAATTATAAGAGCCACACAATTTAAATACAGTTGAGTGTCATTTTTAATTCTTTGAGCCAACAAATATGATTAATCTGAGAAATGAAGGTGCGAGTCATGCTGACAGCCATGGCTTGGTGTGCATAAAATTGATGAGTCAAAAATGAGCAGAGTATTAGACTGTGCTCTGTGCGTGCGTGCGTGCGTGTGTGCGTGCGTGCGTGAATATAGGGCTGGGTTTCCCCTGCAGATAAATGCTCTTTGTCGGTTGTTGGTGGCAGATTCCTATCAGTGAGCCATCAGCATTCAACCCAGCCTGTCTGTCTGTGGCCAGTGATCGGCCCGATGAGTTATGGTGCCCTGTCCTGTTCTGTAATCCCCTAGAGCCTGTCTGTCTGCAGCCGCCTCCCTTATACACACACGCACAGATCAACAAAGACACAAGCTCTCTTATACCCAGAGTTCAGAAACAACACTTGTTTTCTTTCTCTGTCTGTCTTGTATGCACACAGCCATGGGGATTGACAGAGTATACAAACAAGTACGTTTAATTTGAATGTTGAAAGTGGGTGTATGCATGGGTGTTGTTCCATAGTAAGTTTCAGTTGAATTACTTTAAAATTGCAGCATGAGCAAATACTCATTGGAGAACTCCGCCAATTTTACACATGAAGGTCAATTTATCTTAACGCCTGTGAAAACAGTTGTATAATGTGCTCTGTGGCTCTGGAGGAGCTTTGTCAAGTCTGAGAAAATAACCCTTGTTATATCATCAGGGTTGTCTGAACATAAAAAACCTGTGTTACAAACTGGGCATGTACCAGGCAGTGAAGGTCTAATAAAAAGATGCTATTGGTCACATTATGGGAAATGTAGCATCTACTGCATTATGTCATGTTATCTTTGTAAGGTCTCATAACTACACATAACAAATGTTAGGGATAATTGTTGTTTATGTTATGTGTTTCTTAAAAGAAAAGAATATCGGGCCGATATATCAGATTTTAAAATCCTCAAATCAGTATCAGTCTGAAAAATCCTATATCGGTTGGGCTCTAATATTTACTACAAATCTTACAGATCAGTTGGTATCTGTTAGTTTCCTCCTTTCTGTGCGATATGAAAATAAATTATTCACCCCTGAGACATGCTTGAGTTGTATAATCCACTTCATTGTACATGTTGTCTGCATTAAATTACTGTCGTGAGGTCATGGGGTGCGCCCTTTGAAAACGGTGAGTGCACTGGACTAGACGACACTACCACGACTTCCTGTACATTGCGTTGCTTTTTATGAAAATCAAAATTCCTTACGTTAGAAGCATGTGAAAATCCCCCATGCCTACATGCTCACATTGGTGAACTGTCCCACTTTCACATAAACATTGGTCACTGGCAAAGCAATGCGGTGCTGGATTTCGATTGCCATTTTAATGTCAGAGCGGGATCGGATGTCTCTTCCTCTCTTGCTTTAACACACTGCTGTTTTAGCGAGTGTCTGCAGGGGGGATTATAACCAGAGTGGCAACTCAAAACTTTTTAGCCTCCTCTCCTTTCTTCTCCACTATTCTACACTCCTCAACTCTACCTTACTCTCCTGTCCTCCTTTCGGCTCTACTTAACTTTACACTTCTCTCCTCTCTAAGACGCTTTCCTCTCCTTTAGTCGACTTGACTCTCGCTTACTCTAAGTTACTCTCCTCCCCTCTCTTCTCCTCTGCTCTACTTCACTCCACTTTACTCTCCTGTCCATTATTCTCCTTTATTCTGCTGTACTTTACGCTCCTCTCACATGCACTTTTTGTATGTTTTGTGTGTTTTCCTGTAACCTTTAACACGCTCTCTCACACAGACACACAAACAATACTAGTTGAGCCACCATGCCTAAAAGCAGACATGTATAAAGATAAATCCTTTGCAATCCCTATGTTTCTCATTGCTGTCATTAGTACAGCATACAGCAGAAAATGTGACACACTGGGAAAGGGTATCAGAAGATTAATGTAACGGCTTATGGATGAAACTTTGTTACAAAATCATTGTAAGTCTGTGGAATGTTCTCATATTTTGTATATGTTTATGTTAGAAGGGTTTTGGATTGGGTTTGGGTAGAAGTGCTTTGAGCATATATTTTGATTTGTGTGAGATAATCCGAATATTGTTTGTTTATTGTCTGTACAGCATGTTTCCCTGTGTGTGCTTGGCCAAGGCATTGGCTTGAAGCCCTGATGTCATATTTCATTCACTGTTATGCAAGTAAATAAGTAAGTAGCACATTCTGTCTGTCCCTGCTCACCCGGCGTTCACATCTCTGTCTGCACTGAAGCGTATGTTCTCAGCTGTAACTATGAGAAAATATTTCCCACCTCAGCTCCCTTCTCTAGTGTCTCCACAGGCCATCAAGATGTTCACAATGGTGTTCAAGTGTATGCTGCGCATGGCAAAGTGATATTGAAAACCAGATGTCTAACCCACTTAACAGAGGTTTGGTCTCTTTTGGTAATATATATATATTTTTACCCATGATAGTGGCGTGACCCCATTGATGGCAGTCAATGTATCAAAAACCATTATTGTGACTTTTAGCAGCTGCATATAGTGATTTAAAACAGAAAAATAAGTGAACATTCCTCAAATAGTAATTGGGTACGTAACAACTTTATTCAGGCTGAAAATAAGAAGTACTACAGTGCTGTTTAAGGAAAGTAATAATATTTCCCCAAACAACAGTCTAATAACAGCAGTGTCATTAAGAGTGTGTTTGATGATACCCATGATATTGAATCTGGATTTGGTACGCGGGGGGTCAGGGTCGATTGAAGTAGATGTCAGGGGGCAGATCTGGATGAAGAAGAGATTTTCAGAGGCTCGGATATACTGCAGATGTTTGGTTGCGTGGCAATGGTTTAGTTTGAATACAGGAATTGACTCAGTGCCAGCAGTCATGTCTGATGGGGGTGGTCATTATGTAAGACTATAATATGGACATCACAGCCTTCTATCCTAAAACCAAGGCTTAGTCGAACAAAAACGTGTTTTGGGCCCGTTTTAATGGACACATTACAGTTTGTAAATGTTGTGGCCTGTAAAGATTTGTAGGTCATGAGGAGTTTTCAAAGATGAAAAGATCAATTTAATAGGTTTGTGGATACAGGCTTATATTCAAGTTAAGCCTGACTGTGGTTGTGTATTTTCGTGTCTCACAGTACGATACCTTCCCCCGAGTCCTTCAGTGTGCCAGCCTCCGTGTCCGCGTACGACCTTCTCTTTTCCTCACTTTCCCCTTCCCTTTCCTCCTCTTCGTGTCCTCCTCCTCTTTTTCCACTGGGCAGCTGGCCAGGGCCGGAGCAGCCTAAGCAGTGTAGCATTATTGGGTTTATGTGGTGGGCAGGCAGACAGGCAGAGGGAACCGAGCCAGACGGATAACAAACAGCACCCACTAAGGTAAAATAGAGGTGTGTGTGTGTGTGTGTGTGTGTGTGTGTGTGGGAAATGTGGCTGCCAGACTCGGCTCTCTGACACTGTTGGGCTAGTCACTGTGGTGCCAGTGATGAGATGAACAGGGCTCCGTCAAAACTTGCCCCCACCCTCCCCAGATCTTGTTTTCTCTCACACTCGCTTCTCTATCTGAGCAGTAGGGGAAAAAAAGAGTATCATGTGTGAGGAGGGAGACAGACTGACCAGTGCAAGTGATGTAATATCTCTCCCGGGGATTTCTGCAGTTTGTTGATGTCCTTTTGCTCAGATATAAACAAATCCATTCCCCTCCTCACTGGAGTTGCATACACATTCATACACAGTCATACAGAGTGTTGGAGAAGCTCTTTACTAGCCATTAGTGAATTTAGAAGCAAACCAACAAATAAACCATGGTTGTTAATTAAAATAGCGTAAACCGTCATGAGTTGCTGAAAAGAAACTCTTAGGCAGAGCAAGTAGGAAAGTATTTTGTCATGCATAATGGTTTAAAACTTTGAACGGTTTCAACCTTGCGTGTTCTTTGTCAGTCACAAGTTGATCCTTTATCCTGTCAAAACAGTAAAACGAGTACACATTGGGACATGGCCTCCCATTTCATCCCTTTTAATATTTAAACTGTCTCCTTGTTCGATTGACTTAAGTCTTTTTTGGTTCGGTAACCAAGCGTACTGGTGACCCAAGTGTGTCATAGTTGCATCGATCCAGATCAGGATACTCTTAGCAAGAAGAGTGTGTGCAAGTTCAGTCAGAGGGGTGTTGCGCTCTTCTGTCCTTCACCACCAGATGGCAACAAATCTATTTCGCCTCTCCTCAAATTCAGTATCTTGATTAGTGTGGACCTACAACACACTCACACTGTGTCTCACTAGTGCTTGGTTCGTGCATTGTGTGTGGCTAGACGAGCAGGAGCCAGAGACTGTCATCTGTGTACCTTGGTGTTCATGCTTCTCGTGCTTCTTGTGACGCCTGAAAGCACCAGCACTTCTTTGGAAATTCGGCTCCCCCTCGTCCCCCAACAAGAAAAACGAACACCACTCCAGTTAGTCAGTAGTTCCAGTTTCTCTTTGTTCTGTGGCGCCGTCTATGTTGTTTCAAATTTCAGGTGCTGCAAACCATCGTGTGTGACTCCATTGTGCCTATTTTGGCCTTGATTACATCAGTCTGACTGCACACAATCTTGCATTCATTTGTCTATGAAGTGTATATCAGTCATAAGGCTGAAGAGCTGCAAGTTGTGGGAATACTTTATTGCTTTCTACAAAAAGGTTGACACACACATTCTGACTGCTCTTCAGTACTGGATCCTGCACAGATTACCCATCTGTTATACTGAAACCTAGAACTGTAGTTCTCAGGCCAGTCTTGTCTTATCCAGTCTTTGCTGAAATCCAACTCTGAGAAAACCAGGAGTGTGTGTTAAAGAACACAGATCTGAAATATTTTCCTGTACTTAAACTGGCTATAAGCATTATTTATAATAATAATGTATCAAATGACAATGTGAAAGGGGGTAGTTCATAATGATGGAACTACAGAAAAATATCATCTGAATCTGCAGCTCCCCTCTGAGCTTTATAGTGAGTTTTAGCTCATTGTTTTTTAGTCCGGCCCACAACTTTACTGTCCTGGTTTACTTTTGCTGCCCTCATAGCGTCGTTTTCGGCAACAACAGGCAGCTGTTTTCAGAGAAAAGGCTAGCTAGTGGAGCTTTCAGCAGCTAAAGAGCCAAATATTTCCCTCCTGAGCTGAGACCAAAATTTTATTTATTGAATATAAACTCAATATAAGTCAATTATTGCTTTTAATGCAACATTGTCTGCAAATATTTCTCATGTTTGTAAAATTGTATCTGTGTCTGTATTTGTGTGTCTGTCTTCAGGTGGGCTGTGGAGTGTTTTCACATTGGGTGGAGCTGGCAGCAAAGCTGGGATAGACCAGGAACACAACCCTTTACCTTTGTCCAATCAGAGCCTTCTGTTACTGCTTGTCCTAGCCAATCTGACGGATGGGCCTGACTGGCCCAACCCCTACCGCCAGGCTATTACTTGTTTCAGAAACACACAAGGTAATATATTTGTTTTATTTTAATTTGTTGTACATTTATTTGAGAGTTTGGTAATGTGTATGAAATGTACCAGAGGCTTTTGAAGTATTGTAATAAAATTCTAATCCTGATTATATTCACCTCTACCCATGTAGACACGTCATCGCTTCCTGTGGAGCAACCTCACACTTTCCAGATCAATTTCAACAGTCTGTACACAGCGCTGTGTGAGCAGCAGCGCTCTGACCAGGCCACACTACTACTGTACACCCTCCTTCACCAGAATGCCAACATGAGGACATACATGCTCTCCAGAACCGACATGGACAATCTGGTGGGTAGGATAGCAATGAAAAAAAGTTGTTCATTTACAATGCGTGCACATTCATAAAGTCTCAATATGACATTTTGTGTAGTTTATTGGCAATGCAAAAGCAAAGAACACTGTTAAAAAGTGTGATCCTCAACAAAACACATTATTCAGTCCGTCCTTGCACAGTATGGCCATGAAATCGTTTCATCTAGGACCATGAAACATGGACAGTGACAGTTATTCTTTATAGCAGAGTAGTATATGTACTGAGGCATTTATTGAATGAAAATCAATCTTTAGCTCAGCATGTCAGATGGTTTTCCATGAGTGTTAGACAGTCATAAATGAGTCTCTTTCACACAGAATAACGCAGAATGATTTGGTCTTATTGGATAGGAATAGAAGTAGGAGTTAAAGTTGTGTACTGTATATGTATATTTGTACCAGGTTTATAAGGAGCGACAATATAAATCAAACTAATTGCAGTATAAATTCTTGACAGTAGCCATGCCTAGAAACTGTCATATTATATATAATAAAATATTATTCTTAGCAGATCTAGATTGAGCTTGTTATGTAGGGTGCCTGCTAATGAGTCTAGCCACTTTCTCTGCTGCGCAATAAAGCACAGATGCATGACTGTGTAATGAGGTAGCACCGCAACTATTGGTGTTCATCGCTCACAATGTTAGCTGCTAACTGCTTCCACTCTGAGAATTAAATCTTTTGCATTTGTTTCTCAATAGCTGATCACTTTAACCATCTGTTCTGTATACTTTTGAATATAACATCTGCATATATATATATATATATATATATATATATATAGCAGCCATGATTCAGAATTTAAAATAAAAAGTAAATAATGAAAAATTGTGTCTTTTCAACTTGCATATGCATGCTGCATTTCCACTTTTATTGTCTGTTTTACTTGATACTCATGTGGAAACAAGAGTATAGTAACTATAATGACTTGGCTTTATATAGTAAAGTAGTAATGTAATTTTATTGGGCTAGTTGGTAGATTAAGCTTTAACAAAGCCCCCTGGCAAGACACAAAAAGCTTCCTTTCCCTAAATAGAATAATACAGGTAATACATTTTTGAATTTGCATACCTCTTATGTTTGTACTCAGCTTTTCACTGGCATCTGTTGCAAGATTGATATTGACATTTTTGCCCCCTCATGCTGTTTGATTGTCCCACCTCCATGGCCTTAATCCCAATTTGCCAGAACATCCACAAATTCTCCGGTCAAAGGCACCAAAATGAGAAAAAGACACCTACACACATGCTCAGCATTCCTCCTTCTCTCCCACGCTTCCTCTCAGGTGTTGCCCATCCTTGAGATCCTTTACCACGTGGAGGACAGAAATTCTCATCATGTCTACATGGCCCTCATTATTCTCCTCATCCTTACAGAGGATGATGCCTTCAATCGCTCCATCCATGAGGTGGTGGGTAGACATAGTTTAATTTACATTGTTGACATTTCAGCTACTGCCACTGAAACCTTCCATTTATGGGAATAAGTGTAAATCATTCCTGATGTTTCCAACAGGAATTTTGATGTCTCTCTTATTTTGCAGGTATTGAAGAACATCTCATGGTACACAGAGAGAACACTGACAGAGATCTCACTTGGCAGTTTGCTCATCCTGGTGGTCATCCGCACCATCCAATTCAACATGACCCGGACAAGGGTTAGTTTAACACGTGTCACACACACAGTGTGTACACTTGCAAAGCAAATGACTGTACATTCAGAAATACATCAACAGTAGATGCCTTTATAGACCCAAATGTGAATTTGAATGTCATGATGTAACTTTGAAATAACAGTCAAGTGCAGGTTAACAGCAACATCAGTTAATGTGTATGTTTGCGTGTGCATCCTCCCTAGGATAAGTACCTGCACACCAACTGTCTGGCTGCACTTGCTAACATGTCAGGCCAGTTTCGATGCCTTCACCAGTACGCTGCCCAGCGCATCATCAGGTGAGGACTTTATCCTTCCATCTAACCATTTTCTATACGACCTACTACAGTTCTCAACTTACTCAGGTAAATCTATCCTTTGGAAGAATATTAAGTGCGATTTTAAACAAACAGTACTAAGTGACTTTTCCTGTTTGACATTGAATAGGTTGTCTTGACTGGTTTCAATTAGAATCTGGATCTTGACCTTTTAATAGTTTTTGATAATCATCCAACTAGGAATGGGATATATGGACAAAATCCTCATTATTTATGATTTTAAAATCACTATCAATACATGTTTAATTTAATAAATTCAGTATTTGTTCATGGATGAAATAACCAGACGGATATGTCTGTTTTGGCTAACACTGCCTTAGTTGTGCTCTTTGATTTACAGCCTACCCAACAATGGTCTAATACACCTAGGGATGATAAAGCATTTCTACCACAGTATACGTGGTATGGCAAAATCTCTGACAACATCGTCTTATATTGTCCACCACTACTTGTGCTGAATGGTGCTCCCTTTCTGACCGACAATTTGAATTAAATAAAGCACTCCTCAAAGAGAAAGTAGGCGCTCAACCTCAAAAATACTAATCAGTTATTAAAGTAGAAAATAGTGGCACACCACCAAAGCAGTACTTGTGTTTCAGCCAGAGGCCTTCCCCAGAGCATGAATGTGAGTAAAGTCTGCCAAAAAGTAAGTGGCATCTGTGTGATGCAAGCAAAGAAGCCACCAGCGTATACAGTACATCATAGATGCATTATATGCTGTATATAGAGTTTTAGTAAAAAAGGTCTAATTCCCTGTATGGTTACACATACTTGGCCAATAATTCAAAACAGATACAAGGGTGGGATTTCTAATTCACACACAAGCAGACTCATTCATTTTAGTGATTCACATCGAATCAGCACAAAAATATTTAGTGTTATAGTAACTTGGCAATGGCTGCAGCAGAAGAGACTAAGAAATGAAATATTGACAGACTGATGTGCCTGTGTACAGAAGAACATTATGCAACGGAGGGAAAGGGTTTGGCCTGTGAGGAGATGGAAGACTTGAGAGGGCAAGGTCCAAACCGCAGACATACACACACAAACATCAAGTCATTCGTGTCGTGTCTGTTTGTTGTTAACTCCAGGCACACAGCAATGAATGTTTCCTTCCCTAAAGATGTGCACACATTCATGCTCACTCTCAAGGATCCTCTTATCTCCCTGCCTGTGTCTCTCTCCATATCTGTAACTATCTGGTGTTTTGAGTTTGAGAGGAACACTGTCTGTGAACGTGTTCATGTCAGTCCTGTAGTGATGGAGAGCAAATGACTACATGTCTGATGATAATGGTAATGATGATGACTGTGATGGCCAGGGCTGGGCTAAACTGGCTGGCTGGCCGGCTGGCTGGCTAGATAAAGGGAATTTCCTGCCAGGAATTTCCAAATGTCTGCCAGGCAGTGCTGAACTCTGCTCCTTAATTGACTCTCGGAGAGAATCACAGTTGGTGCTGTTTATTTACAGGCAACAGTGGGTTTGAATAGCCTCCACCACCCAACCTTTCCATATTATTTTATATTCATCCTCTCTCTTCATCAATATTCCCTTTCTGTTGCATTGTCACCACACATGCCCATGTGTCCATTCATTCACTGATTACTCTAAAGCATGCTGACTAAAAGGATACAGCTAAGTTCACAGTAGGACTGCAACTAACAGTTATTTTCATAATCGATTAATCCACCAGTTACACACTCATTTAATGGATAAACTGTTTGATCTAAAAAATGCCCATCACAACTTTGCAGAGCCATGGTGACGTCTTAAAGTGTTTCGTTGGTTCTGACCAACAGTCCAAAACTGAGAAAGATTCACATTTGAGAAGCTGGAACCAAATAATCTGACAACAATGACTAGGATGACAAATGAAATATCAAAACAGTATTTTAAGTATCATTTGATCATCATTGATCTCTAGTTTGCAGTGGAACACACTTAACTAACCAAACATTTTTTTTGTTTTAAGACAAAATGTTGCAGTAATTGTTTTTCGCTTGCTTGATGTATAAAAGTTTTGTTCATTGTTTGTTGTTTTGGACAAAAGCGTAAAAATGTAACTGCAAAAATTGGCATATTAGAAGACTATTTGATAAAGACTGCGGTAACTGCTTTTAAATCTTCTGCTGTAGAGAAATTATTCAGGTCATGTTACCACTCACCGTTGCATACCTCCACCAGAAAGCCAAAAAAAACCCATGTCAGTAACAAGTTACATGGCTGGTGCCGTTTATTTACAGGCAATAAACAGTGCCTGTAAATAAACATCTTTTGTCTTTTTGAATATATATCACAAAAGTGGTTGATACACTAATTTACATTTTACTTAACAAAATTTCAGAAATTGTATAGCTGTATACATACATACATACATACATACATACATACATAGTCCCCTCAAAGAATATTGGAACGGTAAAGCAAATTCCTTTGTTTTTGTTGTTCACTGAAGACATTTGGGTTTAAGATCAAAAGTTGAGTATGAGACAAGAGTTCAGAATTTCAGCTTTTATTTCCTGCTATTCACATCTAGATGTGTTAAACAACTTAGGACATATCACCATTTGTATTAGACCACAGCATTCTTAGGTGAGCTAAAGTAATGGAACAGATAATCTTAAAGTAAAAACATTTAATATTTGGTGGCATAACCCTTGCTTGCAATAACTGCCTCAAGCCTGTGACCCATCGACATCACCAAACTGTTGCATTCTTCATTTGTGATGCTATTCCAGGCTTTTACCGCAGCTTCTTTCAGTTCTTGTTTGTTTCGGGGTGTTTCTCCCTTCATCTCCTCTAAAGGAGGTGAAATGCAGCTCTGTTGGGTTAAGGTCAGGTGATTGACTTGGCCCATCTAAAACCTTCCACTTTTTCCCCCTGATGAAGTCCTTTGTTTTGTTGGCAGTGTGCTTTGGGTCATTGTCCTGCTGCATGATAAACTTCCTCCCGATCAGTTTCAATGCATTTCTCCGCAAATTGGCAGACAAAATGTTTTTTGTACACTTCTGAATTCATTCTGCTGCTACCATCATCTCGCCTTTGTTTGGTTTTCCACTGTGGAAAAGTTGTTCTTGTACCGCTGCAGCAACAACAGCAGAGGAAAACACAGCTGTAAGGTGTTCATGCCGCTCATCTGTGTTTACATTCTGAGTAATGTTGAAATGTTTTAACTTAAATAAAGAGAAAGCTGTGTCGCTTTGAACATTACATCATGGCAGTTGTGTGTGGCGTCGCTATGACGACCAGCTACATTGAGGGGTAGGCCTACTATCTCTGGATAGGCCTACTATCTGCAATGGAAAACGGAGCACGGCCAAACAGAGTCTAGTATAGTTGAGCTGGTACTGGTAATGGAAAAGCGGCATATATTTCTGCTCTCTGAGTCTTCATCGAACAGTGGATTGTGATACCTTCACCCCTGCACTGTGGAGGTCGTTGCTGATGTCACTTACTGATGTTTTGTGGGTTTTCTTCACAGCTCTCAACGATATTTCTGTCATCAACTACTGTTGTTTTCCTTGGCCGACCTGTTCGACGTCTGTTGTTGCTCAGTACACCAGTAGATTCTTTCTTTTTCAGGACATTCCAAATTGTTGTGCTTGCTATGCCCAATGTTTGTCCAATGGCTCTGGTCTTTTCTCAGCTTGACAATGGCTTGCTTTTCTCCCATAGACAGCTCTCTTGACTTCATGTTGGTTTATCCTCTTTATCAGGGTTCCAGTTATAATCTGAGCTTCGTGGAGGTCTGTAATTTACTACCTAACGTTACCGGCGGCATTTCCCTCTCTCTCACACACGCCAACGCACACACAGCAGTCCACTACTTGCCCCAGATGTCTGTGATATTGCAACAGGGTGTAGGTCTACTCACACTAGGCAAAGTTTCAATCGCCCCGCTTGTCACCGGCACAAAGTAGCAAGCATATTATCGTTTATAGCGCTGTACTAATTGGAGGATGCATCAAAAATCCATTAATACTAAACAAATAAGGTGCAGTCAATACAGAGTAATAGGCTACAATACAACTGAGTTTATTTTCACGGGTTGCGGCCTCAACTTGTTCGGTCAAAACTTTTGCGCGAGATAGTGGCTGATAGTGGAGAAGTGCAGCCATCCTGTCAGTCATGCAATGCGCAGCGTAGTTCATTAGGAAAGTGTGTTCATTTAAGTCTGTTTATCTTGTTTAATGTGATGATAGTATGTACTAATTATAATGAAAAATACATTATTGATACAGAGTGATTCAAAATAATAGTTGTTGATAAATGAATTCGAGACCCCCACAGATGCATGATTTTACAGCTTCCATGGGAGCTCAGATCCTCCTTAACGCGAACCCTGCTCTTTAACAGGAAATGCAGTCTTTGCATGACTAGTCTTAAGGTTTCATCCTTGGTTCAAACATATAGAGCTATTTAATGTTTGGACAATCAACCTAAAAGGCAACACCTGGGCAACAAGAAACATCTGTCAGTCACATGTTCCAATAGTTTTGCTCACTTAAAAAATGGGTAGGTTCAAACAAAGGGTGGCAACACATCTAGATGTGAGTACCAGGAAATAAAAGCTGAAATTCTGAACTCATACAAATACATACATACAAATTCAGATTTTGAAGAACCGCACACAGCTACCCGCTGTGTGTGTCCACATAAAAAAACAAAAAGCGTCCTTTGAACTGGTAGAGACAGAGCACCTTTACATCTTCAGTGTGTCAGGGTGGACCATGTCTGTCATTACTTCAGCCTCATAACTGATTTTGGGATCAGGCCAGCAGTGTGGAAATCCTTCTATGTAGCTGTTTCCTGGGCCGTGTCCGTCACTGCTTTGGCATAAATGAGGGATATGACAGAGCGACTAGTCACAGTGCTTTTCTTGTAGGCAAGCGTCCCAGGTGGTCTCGCATTTGAAATAGGAAACTAACTAGATAGTACGACAGGCTCTATTAAGTCGTCGTGGCCAACAGAGCCTTTGACATTAGGTCTGTAGATATCAAGTAGACCTCCTCAGAGCTGCTCAGAAAGCTCCATTCAGCCATCATTTGGCCAATTAGCCTGGATTACGGATGCTGAGAGATTTTGTGAGTATGTTTTCCAGTGCTGACAGATGGACAGGTGTAGCTGTAAGGGGCTTAGCTGAGCTCTGTTCATGCATCTGACTTTCCCTCAGCCCTTTACTGTCATTTAACTGAATTTATTCTGCAGCTTTTTTCCATGATTGACGCACAGATTAAATATTCAACACCGTTGGGGGTCTAGAAAGACTATTAAAAGTTGTAATTAAAACAGAAGGTCAATAATAATTATAATACTAATCACCTCAATAAATACCATGAGCCTCTGTAATAGATAATATAAAATGTAATAAACAGCTCAAGAAGGGGAAAATATTACATTTTAGACAACCAGTATAACAGAACTTTTTAAATATTTTTATTTATTTATTATTTGTTGTTGTAGAGTTAAAAACAACTACGTATGTCAGCGAGTTGTTCTTTACACGCTACGCAAAGCTGAACATAGAAAATAAAAAGTGGGTTTTTTTCTCAACTCTCTTGCTTGACCAGACATGTCGAGTGAACACCGTGCCTTTTAATGGTGTCTGACCCATGTGTGTATTGACTCGCCCTATTGCAACCCAAGGTCGCCCAAGCATACTCTAGGACTCTTGACGTATGTCTGTGCCCATCCATCACATGCAATCTTGCAATCCCATCCGGACAAGCGTACACACACAAACAAGTGCAATAAGGGTAAAGCAAGTCAGCTACCTACAATGACAACAACACATACATGTACACATAACATTTTTTGAAAAGTAACCAAGGCTGTGACCTCTTCAGGCTACTCAAAGCCAGTTTAGAAAAAGGAGTTGTGATTGTAAATTAATGGTAAATTAAGCCTAATTTTTAGCATTTTGACACATCATTTCTAAAACAGTCTCCTGCCAATGTCATAATTGTTTTCTTATTTTAAGAGTAATTATTTGAAAGGCCTCATTTAGAAAGCAAAACAGGCCCGCCTCTAATAATAATTTGTCTTAAATAAAGGCTTTGCTCTTCAGTTAAAGTGAGTGAAGGCCATTGAGAATTTACAGCACATTAAATACTGGGCAACATGTGCAGTGTGACGACGATGTGTAATTGGGTTCTTCAGTCTTTGTAGAAGTGTGTCATTCATCTGTCGTTGCTGCTCTCACTTCTTTTCCCCTCTCTGTTGTCTCTCCTGCAGTTTATTTGCTTTGCTTTCCAAAAAGCACAACAAGGTTTTGGAGCAGGCGACACAGTCTCTGAGAGGCAGACAGGGAGACAACACAGCCTTGCCCGACTATGTGAGTAATCTCTGTGTGTGTGTGTGTGTGTGTGTGTGTGTGTGTGTGTGTGTGTGTGCACTCAGTTGCCAAGAAGAGGTTGCCAAATTATGTCTACTTGGATAAGGTACAGAAGTTGACGTGTTGTGTAAGGTTACATGAATTTGCACTTGAATTTTGACTGTTTATATATCAGGTTTAGCATCTAAAAGTTCTGATCTTAATACTGCTACTAAATATGATCCAAGTAGTGATAAATCAGTGGTTACCGAAACTTTGTGTTACAGAAATGGTTCAGGATTTTGGCCACATTCGCCTTCTTGCTGACTGTTTGACAAGACAATTGATACCGGTCTCTTATCTGCCCATTAAATATGAAGTTACAGTTAGCTTAGCTTAGCCTAAAGACTGAAAACAAGGGGAAACAGCAAGCTTGTGCTTATGTACGGGGGAATTTTTTTCACTGGGCTCAAAAGACCTGACTGTGGCAGGCGAGCTGTTTCTAGTCTTTATGCTAAACTATTCTAACCAGCTGCTCAGTGAAGCTTCAGATTTAGCATACAGATATGACAATGGTATTGATCTTCTCATTTAAAGTAACCCTAACTATTTTTTGATGATTTGGAAAAACAAGCAGTCCTCATACCATTTAAATTCAAACCTACAACCGCATTTTATTGAATACATCACTCAAGCTAATAATTTAGCATCTAAATACATTTTCAGTTAATCCTCCAATACATACATCAACTGTTGCTATAGTAAACAAGAAAGCACTTATTGCCATGTGCTTCCACACTTGATTTAGTCTTCCTTGTAGCATCTTGTCCATCAGGGATTTTGAAATACTTCTTGATGTCTCTCTTAGTCAGCTATAAAAGACTGAGACAACTCCACATTTTGCTCTTGGCATCAGTTACGTCAACCGTTTTAGGACTCACTGGGATTCATTTGAGGATGGGGTGCACTGTTTGATGCTGTTTGTATGTTTTCAGCCGCTCGAAAGCATCAAATTTAAGGCCTGTTGCTGCAGGCCCGCTGTGAAGTGGCAGTCTGCAGCTGTGTCTACTTCAATCCTTTTGTCTTGTTCTCATTTGTTTTCCAGCCCACGTCCCACTCATTTAATTTGTACTGAAATGGAGTCTCCACTTGTAGAATAATATTGATGAAAGTATTGAGTGTTTATAAAATTGAATGTTAAAATTAGTCATTCTGAGTGGCACCACAGTAATATTGAAATTTCTCTGAAACATCAGCATTAATCTGAAATTGAAATCTTAACAGCACCAGAGCAGTAACTAAGTGGGAGTATCAACCAATAAATTAATCAGGATGTTGTCCCAATGCAATCAAGTATCTATGGATCTTACTAGTAGCCTCACCAATGAGTGCACTCTGCTGACCATTAACTATGTATAATTGTCTGTATTTGTGTTCATGCACCTCTGCCTTAAGGTCTGTCTGTATACGTTTCAGTCTGGCTGTCTCATTAGATTTGCAGGGTCCTGTGTGTGTGTGTGTGTGTGTGTGTGTGTGTGTGTGTGTGTGTGTGTGTGTGTGTGTGTGTGTGTGTGTGTGTGTGTGTGTGTGTGTGGTGTGTGTGTGTGTGTGTGTGTGTGTGTGTGTGTGTGTGTGTGTGTGTGTGTGTGTGTGTGTGTGTGTGTGTGTGGTGTGTGTGTGTGTGTGTGTGTGTGTGTGTGTGTGTGTGTGTGTGTGTGTGTGTGTGTGTGTGTGTGTGTGTGTGGTGTGTGTGTGTGTGTGTGTGTGTGTGTGTGTGTGGTGTGTGTGTGTGTGTGTGTGTGTGTGTGTGTGTGTGTGTGTGTGTGTGTGTGTGTGTGTGTGGTGTGTGTGTGTGTGTGTGTGTGTGTGTGTGTGTGTGTGTGTGTTGTGTTTGTTTGTTTGTTGTTTGTTTGTTTGTTTGTTTGTTTGTTTGTTTGTTTGTTTGTTTGTTTGTTTGTTTGTTTGTTGTTGTTTGTTTGTTTGTTTGTTTGTTTGTTTTTGTTTGTTTGTTTGTTTGTTTGTTTGTTTGTTTGTTTGTTTGTTTGTTTGTTTGTTTGTTTGTTTGTTTGTTTGTTTGTTTGTTTGTTTGTTTGTTTGTTTGTTTGGGGGTTGGAGATGTATTAGGAGGTCCCCATAGATGCCCTAAGGTGTTTGGGGAAACGTGAAAGTATTTGAGTGCTCCTTCAACCGTGTAGAGACTGTCTGATGAGGCCCCTTACAAACAGACATCTATGTACATACATAAACATACACACACAAAAACCTATAAAATTCAAATAGCCAACTTTGTTTTGATGCTTCAGGGTTTATTTTGATGCTCAGTTTTATTTATATACATGCATAAACGCCCACTATATGTGACTAAAATGGAAGAGAAAAATATAAAGAGAGATGGATAACCTTGCTATGATTAAATCTTTTCTGATCAAGATATCAGTCCGGCCAGCTGTTGTCCATAGAGAGTGCACTCAGAATGAATATAGTAATACAAACACACGGTATTGCTCAAGGGCACACAGCAGATCTCCAGGATGATTATTTCATGGGAATTTTACAATGAGGTTTTTTTTTTTTCCTAGAACACTGTGTGACATCCAGTCTGGGTCATAGACTTTTTAAGCCCGAGCTGGTCAACTTTTCTGATACCGCTGTTATCCTTGAGCTCAGACTATACTAACTCAATGTTACATTAGTTCCCATGTCTACAAGGGTTCCGGTGAGTACTGTACAGAGCTAGAAGTCAAATTTTTTGCTTTATTGACATGCATTGATTAAAAGGAACATGTTGTATTGTTTTCCTTCTGAGCATGTGCACACACATACACCCACATAGAGAAATACACATTCAGTTTAATTGTGTCTTGGACAGCAGTTGAGTTTAATATGAGCTCACACAAAAGCACACAATCAGCTTTTCCCATGTATTAAAGTAGTGAATGTCTCGGCCCTCATCAGTGTTTTTTTTTCGAGTGTTTGAAGAAACTTGGAAGCTCCCCGTTCAGAGGGCTGGGGACCTTCCGGCCTGGCCTTGATTCTGGCTTTTGTTGTCACTGATTGTGCTCAACTTGTCAGCCTTTGTGAATTCCTCCTCAGGTTTTTTTTTTTAATTGTTATTAGCCATGCAAGTGGTGTAGCTCTATAGAGGGCACTGCCTACCACTTAGGTGCCACCTGAAATATCTCAATAACTGTTGGATGGATTGCCATGTCATTTTGTACAGACATTCAAATTACAGAGAGGATGTTTCTTATGACTTTATTGATTACTTTTCCTCAAGTATCACACATTCATGTCCACTTCAGGATGAATTAATAGAAATATGTGGTAAAACATTGAATGTGTCGTCTATGACCAAACCTGCAAGAATGAAATTCCCATCAGCCTCACCTGTACTTTGTGTTTAGTGCTAATTAGCAGATGTTAGTATTTAAACATGCTAAACCAAAATGGTAAACCTGGTACACATTGTACCTGTTAAACTGATGTTATGAAGATGTTAGCATCCTAATGTCACCTCAAGGCGCTGCTACCCCTAAGTACTCTGTAGTGTCTTTTATTTTTTTTCATTTGAATTGAATTACATTTGGACTGAATTTTCAACGCTGTGTGACGTGCCCTTAAACTTTCTTTGCATATAGACTAAATTTTAAGCAAATGTCTGGCAAATGAAATTAAGGTTATTCCATACAACTGACATTAATGGTTTAAAATGTTATCTATCAACTAAACATCAGCTGACCAGCCATTTATTTCTATCCTATGAATGAATCTTAAACTGAAATTTACATAAAACCTTATGCATAGCTTTTCTTATCTTTATCTGGCCACTTGTAAAGACCCCACACACTGGCTACGGTCCGTGATTGGCTTTGGAGATGTGACATCTAAAAAGAGGACTTCTGTCTCATCCTGTCGAGTCCTTTTGTTATCTCCATCTCTGGCCCTCCTCTCCTCCTCCAGTCGTTGTGTAGCTGAAAACAGCCTGTTCTTGTGGTGTTTACAAATCTGCATCTTTAATCAGGAAGGCAGGAAGTGTGGGGAACTATAGGGAGAGATAAACAGGAGCAGAACATGAGTAGAAGAGAAGAACAATGGAAAGAGGCAGAAAGAAGCAGCAGGAGGAGATGAGAGGGGGTTTGCAGAGAGGGTGGGTTTGTGATGGGCATCTGGAAACAATGTAATTTGGAGTCTGGCTCTGGAGAGAGAACTAATGTTTGTTTAATGTGGGATTGTCCTGGTCATGAAATTGCTCTCTTTACGAGGGAGCGACTCAGAGGAGGATATGAAAAACATAAAATGTTCTATGCTGTGGGTTAAAGCTGGGTGCATTATGCTTATGTGTTAATGCCCCCCCACCCCTGCTTTCTGCCTCTTGGTCAATATCTGTCTCTGTATCTCTCTCTCTCTCTCACACACACACACATACACATACACACACACATACACATACACATCCCCATCCCCATCCCCATCCCCATCCCCATCCCCATCCCTGTATGCGTTTGTGGTGCTGTGTCTGGTTATTGTCAGTGAAGAAAGAGTGAAGGGCTAGGGCCTCCAGGGTACATCCAGAGGCTCCCAGTCCAAGCACGGCAGCTCTCAAGGGGTCCCATGGTTCCTCTCTACACTTCTGATTGCAGATGTTTTTTCTTACCTGAGATATGTGCAGTGACATACTGTATGAGCTGGTACACAAAAACACAAAAAATAGGAGTGCTGTGCATTATGTGTGACTGTTTATACTCCCAGCCGGTGGTAGTGGTAATGTTACTTGCCTCTGCCTCTTAGTCTGTTTACTGTTGCATATTTCTGGGAAGAGAGAGACACACACACAGCTAGAAGCATGTTGGACCACCCTGTCTAAGTGTTTATGTGCACTGGTTGAGTCACAATCTGTGATCTCTTTTTAATAGCCAGAGTAGACACATGCATTAGCTTTGTAGCACCATTCCTCTTGTTTAGCGAAAAAGCACAGCCCGAGGATATATCAACAGATAATAAACATTATGCCTTCTGTTTAT